ATCTTAAAGTAAAAGAAAAACAATATTTTAAAGAATCTTAATTTTAATATTTTCTTTTTTTTTTTTTAAGCGGCATTTACATCACAATCATGCTGGTCAATCTAATACACCTGTACTTTTATCGAATGATGCTCTTTTATCAAATCCTAATACAAAGTATGATAGTGAAATAGAATATATTTGTTGAAAAAACAAAATAATTTTATTTTTCTTTAGATTTCAATGTGGACTTTGTCGTCGATATCAAAGTAATGTTGATGAATTTATTAAACATATTACAGAAAAACATCGTATGGATGTATGTATTAATAATTTAAAATGAAATAACAAATGAAAAATATTGAATTTTTTTTTTCCTTTTAGGTTGTTATATTAGATTCAGCTAATAATGGAAATATTCATCAACAGATAAAATCTCGTGGTCGAGCTGAAGTATTTTCTTTTTTCTATGTTTTGTTTGTTTTAATTTGTTTTGGATATTTCTAGTTAATATGTGCAAGTAATAATTCAACACCATTTCGATTTGATGAATATGGTGGTCTGGTTACTGTTATGAAAAATCCAATAAATCAAAATGAAACAACAATGAATAATTCAACAGCTAATTCAACAACCGATTTTCTACTTCAGCAATAAAGAAAAAAAAGCCAAAATTTTGTTTTCGTTTTCTATCTTTATTTCATTTTTCTGTATACACAATTGTTATTTTAACAATCAGTCAGTCCTCATAGGATTGTATTTTGCATCTTTAAAAGGAAAAAAAAAAAAACTCACACTCACACACACACCCTATTTATGTGTATTGTTCTGTTTTTGTTTATTATAAAAAAAAAACTGTTGTCAAGAAAGAAAAAAATATATTCAATGATTGTATTCTTTCTTTTATTGGCATATTAATAAAAACTATATTTAGAAAAAAAAAATTGAACAAAGAAAATTCTTGTTAATCAAAAAGAATAGACATTAAATCAGTATTAGGTATTGATTGTAACAAAACTTTGAAAAGAATTTCTTATGTTTTGCATATATCTCCATTAAAAATATCGTAGTAGATTGAATATTCTTTCAAACGAAACGTCGTATAATAGTGTCGATCTGAATTGCAAAACCAAATATTTACAATTATTATTCAAATTTTACTACAGAACAATAGATGTACATGTTTCATTATAATGCTAATTTCTATTATAAGAAATCTGAGAATACAGGAGTCACGACTTGAACAATATTTGACAATTGAGTTTATCGCTCCTGATGATTGTATTAAATGAAGATACTGTATTTGATAATGTTAAAACAATGAAAACATTACCGATTCTTTGATATTTAATCAGTCATCAATTATTATTACATGTCATTGATGAATTGCTTCTATTTTCAATTCAATATATCTCCATTTTATCATCTCGAATTTTGTTTTCATTTTATGTCTTTTTCTTGCAAGTTTAGTTTAAGTATATTCCAATAGTGTTTTTTTTTATTATCTATTCAGCAAGTTCACTGGTTTTTCTAATTTATTGTTGAATTACATTAATGGAAATTTTCTTTTTTTGGACGTTTCACTATGATAAGACAATTGAAAACATCCGTGACATTTTACCTTGAAACTCCAAGTAGATGAAAATCTTTATACTCTAAAATGGTCATTACGCTTTCACTTCATTTGAAGTATTGCACTGAACAATGAATGAATCAAAGTCGTCATTATCTTTTTGAAAATATCTAAACTGTTTCACATTATTTTTAATGGAAAAGTAGAACGATAATAAATATGTTCATCTTTAGTACTCTATGAAAATTTTAAGAACACCTAGAAAAATTTAGTTTCATAATTTCGATATAGTACTCCATGACGTGTCTTGTGAAAAAAATATCTAGCTCTCTATTATGTCCTCGAACGGAAGCGCGCAAAACAAAAATATAACAACACTTTTATCACATCCGGTATACTAGTTAGGGGAAGGCGTTGTTAGAATGATAATGTTTCTCCTTAGATAATGAGCACTCTTCAATGTCTAGTATTCATTATATAATGGAAACGTTAAGAAAGGAAAAACATTAAGATCAGTGAAAAATATATGATAAACGTAAAAGCATGAAAGTCATCATTATTTAGAAGGAAATGAATATTTAATTCAGTGCTATTATTGAAAAGAAATTATATTTTCTGTCCATTATCTTAAACTATTGAGACGCTTAATGCATTTGAGAAGAACACAATTAAACTGATATTTAAGCGTTATTGTTCATTTTATTTTTTTCATTTCCTCATTCCAAATGAAACGATACAGAAATTTTTTCTTATGCTTCATTTATTATGCCGAATAAAAATCATGATATCTATGCCTACCTTCTAACATAGTCTACAAAAAAAGAAAAATTAATGAATTAAAATTATATTTTAAAATGAATTTGAAAAGAAAAAGAACTATTATTAATTCAAAATGACTTGAATAATCTAATGCTATAAAAAAAAATTCTTATAATGTCATCTTGAAATGTAGGTTAAGCGTAAAAAATATTTCTCATTTAATTACATAACTCCTAATTAAAGTCTTAAAAAAAGATTTCTGAAGTATACAAGATCAAGTTTTATGTCAAATTAATCACATTTACTACTCAACAAACTAACTCTTTAATGTTCTTTTCTCAGTGTTTTACTTACATCAGGTTGATACTAAGATTGTTTTTTTTTCTAATAAACTCCTCATCAGTAAAAGTATAATGATTTTGTAAGAGAATTTTAGAAGAAAAATGAAAAAAAAATGAGAGTTTATATGATATAATAATAATAATATGGAAGGTCAATTTTCAAATGAGATATTAAATTCATTCAAACCTTCGCTAATGTATTGTATTCTTTTCGTCACTGTCATTCTCGTTATTAAAAGAAGGATCTTATATCTTTTTTTTCTCAAAAACCAAAATACACAAGATTCACACACATTCGTCTTATTAATTTTTTCTCAAAAAAACCTATCTGAAATGTTTTATTTGTCTAATAAATTAAATCTACTACTGTTCAAAGCCAATTAATATCACTAGTTTACAATAAAATAGAGTGAAAGTAAATATTAGCATTGACATGACTATGTAAATATAAACATGCCATCTAAGTCTATTGACAACACAGTAATTCTTAAAGAAAATGGCATGAAAATTGACTTGGTCTAATTTTTTTTTACATTAATGTCGATTTTTATATTTGAAATGATAATAACAATTATTAAAATGCAGATAGAAACAGACGTTATGTTATGAGCGTTTTTATAATGCGAAAGTGGAAAATGTTAGAATGACGATTGAGTTTTTTTTTTTCTTCTTCTTCCATATCATTTTGTTGTATATAGATGTAATCCAGAAGAACATCGACGATGACGACGAAGAAAAAAAGATAGATCGAGTGGTGCATATTTTTTTTTTATCTAATAATAAAGACATTTTCAGAGTTGGTCGTCATTGATAATAGCGTGATGAAGACAAGCAATCGTAAGCACTATTCGAAATCTTTTTCATTTGTCATATATATAAGTATAGGATTTACAGCTAGTTTATATCCATTGGCGACTAATATAATATAGATTATATGCGGAGTGACAAATTATTATTTGTATCAGAAAAAGTACTAATACTTTTGAATTAGTATTGAAAAAAAGGCTTAATACTTGATAAGTATTTCTTGTCTATTACTTTGCATTAGAATTAGTAAATACTATGATGATGTTATTATTATGATAGAATTCGTTTTAACTCTAAGAAATAAAGTATGTAGAATAAATTTTAATTTTCCTAAGTAATATGTTATTTATCCATTTTTCTATGTCAGTATAATTTGATGTTCATAGTTATGTATGTCTACTCTATACGGAAATTTCTTCAGTCTATATATTATTGCTACACAGATAGAAGTAACATCAAGATCATAGACTCTCTTGAATAAATTTTAGAAATATTTTTCAGTAATATTATATGAAAAGTATTCCTTATAGATGAGGGTCTACACATTGGACTTTTTTAAAGAAATATAATAGTAAATTGCGCATCAATGTTTATATATATATATGTCTATATCTGTTTACTATCTTGAGCTGTCACTTTCAATAATCACTCAATGTCTTCTTTTATTTTTCAAAGTACCTAATATACCATAAGTATGCATGATTGATTTTTATCTGGAACATTCTGAACTTTCAATGGATCCGCTTCGTTTAGTAATGAAAAAGAAATTCATGGTAACTTGATTTAGAAAAGTAGACATTACCAATCAAGTCATTCAATCACTATGAACAATGTCATTTCGCTTTTTATGCCATTCACTCGCGCGTTACATTGTTTCTCCAAGTTTTATTATCACGCTAGAAAAAAAAAACTGAGCTTCAACAGTTTTATTATTAATGTTCATAATGGCATGAGAATATGACACAAACGCCACAATGATGACGAGAAAAATAAAAATTGCTCGCAATGAATGAGTGATGGAACGAATATACTCTTTTCTCACTCTCTCTCGAGAATAGTAAAATACAATTGAAAGTTTTTTTCTTTGATAGTTTTGACGGTACTTATACTTTTATAATTATAATATGTCGACAGTTAAAATTCTCTCATAGAATAGATTTAGATATCTTGTACATGTACTATGATATAGCAACATCCATCGTTTTAAAAATATTTCAGAATAGCATATTTTTTGACACACTGAACAGTTATTTTACATCGTTTATGTTATCCGTGCATAGACTTTGAACTTTCGGATATCTAATCACAGGTACTCTTCGTATTAATATTAAAAATAATGTTAGCTGGATGCTAACACCTTTGTTTTTTTTTTAAATAATAGAAAATAATATTCTACTATTACTCGTATGTTTTTTTAGTACTAATACATATATATTAAAATTAGTATTAATTATTATTCTAATATTCATTCTCAAATCATAATGCTAGATTATAAATTTTTAGATTCATATTTCTTTAATTGAATTATAAAATACATTCACATGTCGGCAGATATATTTACTTTATCATGGTTTATGGTGTTTGCTTTGATTATGTTGATTGCTCTTGTTGCTAATATAATTATTATTTTAGCAATACTTCGAGATAAATCAATGCATACATCAACTTATTTTTATATTATTAATGTTAATATAGCTGATATTCTTCTTGTACTTAGTTGTTTACCAGAACGTTTAGCTGCAGCATTTGGATCTAATGATGGATTTAATTTAGGCATGCTTACATGTAAGAATTATTTCATTCTTTTTTTTTTTTGTTTTATTTTTCAAAGTAGTTACTTAGTATTTGAATTATTCATTGAAATGAATATATTCATTTTGTTGCTACAGTGTCACAAATATGTGTAGGGTCATGAAAGGATCGTTTTTATTATCAGTAATATGACATAGGTAATCTGTTCGATGTATTAAATATCATGAAAATAGATGAGTGAGATTATGTCCATTGCGAAATTTCCTTTTGTTTATACGCAGTTTCTTATATTTTCATGATTTATTTATTAGTTTAAACTTTTATCATGAAACATCAGAGAGTTTTTTTGCTTTGAACTTATTTTTGGTTAGATATATTAATAATAGTTTGACTTTATTTTAATGAAGTAAGAATTTTAAAAAATAATCTTATTCGTGAGAAATATGAAAAGAAATACATGTAAAAATAAAAAGAAATGTCTAGCAATTATTAGGACGCCTGAAGTGTGCCTAGACATTCTTTTTTTGCCTCGAGTCACTTCTGGAAAAACTAACATTGGCTGTACAATCTTTAGTATATACAAATATTGTCCAAAAGAATCATAAAGATATATACATAGGGTTAATGCAGTGCAAAATAATCGTGACGCGTTCTACGGTAACTTATTCTAATTTTATATTTCTAGTCTATTTACGATAATGAACGTAGATTTGTAGGTAGATAAACACTAAATTACATACTTGAATCTAAACTTAGGTTGAAATATGACATTCATAGACATATTAATTATTACTCTCTAGATAATTGAGTGATTTTCTTTTAGTATTTATTAAAATATATGACGTCAATGATACATAAAACTGATTTATGTTAAACTATAATCAATATTACATTGAAAATAATTGATGAGTCAATAATTTGTTATTCAAGTGTCATCATTTTTTTAAATTAAAGATCGCAAAAACAATGATTATAAACATTTGTCAAACAAATATTTATCATATAATGAAATAAATTTTTAATATATCAATTAAACTTTTTTTTTTCATGCTGAATACGTATATGAAAAGTCAGAACTCAATTATTTATGAGCACCAATTTAAGATAACAATCACTAATACTTTTTCATACGAATAAGATTGCTTAACATCTCATTTCCTTTTGTTTGTGATAACTCAAGTTCAGCTTTTAAGATCGAAAATAGCACTATCAAGTACCTTACATCAAGTGTACTCTAAAATAAATATTTCAAGTTAAAAGGGTCAATATGACTTTCATTTCTTACAGGTACCCATCATATTCACAGTATGTTGTTCGTGATAGACATAAAGGTTTGCATAAGTTCCGTCTGTTAAAATGTATTAGCTCGAGCAATTTTACATTTGGTGTCCTTTTTGGTAAATTAATTTTGAGAATTACTTCTATTAAACTAAGTCTATATCTTACTTCGCTTCGCTTTTTATCTTCAGAAATCAAATTATGCTTTTCATGGCATTCATTTATTCAGAAGAGGGCGAGCGCTTTTTTTCTTGTAAACATAGTTCATAAAGGTTGAATTCACTAAGATTTTGATATAATTAAAAGGTATGTTTTGATGAATGAAGATTATAATATATAATTGAATATATAAAAGATAATGAAAGAAAACCAAGAACTTGATGAATTTAATTATAAACTTATCGAGATCAAACTATAAGAAAACAAAAATATATGTTTGTATGAATAATAATTTTGAAGAAACTTGATCATTGAGCATATTTTATTGTAATATAACCTTCTTGATAATATTCTGCAATAGAATCAATAATAATATCCAAAAATTTAGTTCATTAAAATCAAAAAGACAATATATCCGCAGGAGTTTCTATTTAATAATTAACTATATGTTTAAAGTGACAGTAGCTTCTTATCTTTCGAGCAATTTCTTTCTATAACATATCTAATTAGATATTTATGTAGAATGTCGTCATTTGTACTAAATATTATATTGTAATTATTCACATAGAAATTGAATCTTACTAAAATCTAATTTCAGTTTTTTCAGTAATAATACTATTCGATATTTGCGTATGGAACGATAAGAAAACAATTACTCCACATTTGCTATTTGTTTTTGTTATATGTTGATAAAATTTTATCATTTCTATTAATGACTCAATAATTGATAAGTCGATTAAATTATTAATTTTGTTTTTTTTTCTTGTCCTAGAACTCTTATGATAATAGTAATTGATGATAATAATTTCATGTTAGTATAAAATAGAATTTATTGCAAAATTTTTCATAAGAATTATCTTAACTAATACTTATTCATTAACGTTATTACTTCGATAGTTTAATAAAAAAAATCGTTTTAATATTAGATATTTTATTATACGAATCATTAATTTACGAGTAGAATTGATTTTATTAAAATTAAAAATTTACTACTATAGTATCCGTGATCGAATGCATTGACAAAGTCAATAAATAATAAAAACAGCTGTTTATTGATAAGACAGGAATTAGGAATTTTACAATTGACTTTTAATAGTATTTGTCTCCTTTAAACATTTTTCTTATATTGATTGATTGTCGTACTTAACACACCCATACACTACTAAGTGACGATTGTACCAAATGTAATCAGATAACCTTCTGAAACTAGTTGAAATTCTACAGCAGAAGTCACTATACCGAAATTTATTTATTCCGACACAACTTGATAATGATATATTGATACTATATTGTATAAATCTTATTATTTGTAAGGATTCTGATAAATATATTATATCGTGAAAGAAATATTCCTATCGTTCATTACTTAAATATAGCCGAAGAAAAACTATGGAGGAATCAATCATTCGGCAGCATTCGAACATCAATAATCAAGAAATTCAATTAATTTTCATTATTATTAAATCTAAAAATTGAACAAATAATACAGAAAGAGATACAACAAAATGTTCGGACGAGCTTTGAATTAATTTGATAATCATATTAAAAATTATATCAATAAAAGTCTGATGACATTTGCGTCGTCTCATGAAATTAAGTAGACAAATGTATTTTAATCCAAGTTGTTATGCAAAGAAAAAAAGAAGACATCTGTTATACTAAACAGGAATATCAATATTGAGTATATATATATTTTTTATACAATTACTTTTGGCAAAAAAAATATTTCATAGTTCATTGACAATCGAAAAAATAGAAAAACAAAATAATAATTAATTTCTTTTTTTTAAATAGGTTATTTACTTCCATTTCTTCAACAAGTATCAATGCATGCAGCATTGGCTTTTTTACTTGTCTTAACTATACATCGTTGTTATCCAGCTGGTGTTCCACATTTTTTACAAGGTGATTTAATTCGTCGACAAATACGTAATCATTATCAAACATTATGTATTCTATGGGCATTTGCTATATTAATTAATTTACCATTATTTTCAATAACAAAATATGAAAAAAATCTTTTAAATATAACAATTATGAAAGCAAATCATACAAATTCAACATTTTCAATTGTAGAACGTAATTGTTTTACAGGAGCAACAGAAATATGGTCACGCACTTATTTAATATTACTTCTTGTTTTTACTTATCTTATAACTGGTATTTTTCTTATTGTTATTTATGGACAAGTTATACGTATAATACTTGCATCAGAAAAATATGTGAAAAATTCAAGTAGTAAAAGTTCAAATAATAGTGATCAATATCGATTTTTTTCATCGGATAAACTGAAAGAACAATATCGTTCAAAATTAATTACTCGAACAAATGGAAGAGGTGATGGAGAAACTCCACGTACATATTCAACATCATCATCAACAAGTGGATCAAATCGACGTCCACCACATAATTCACCTAATTCATCTGTAGTTATTTGTACACCAGTAGTACACAATGATTTACATAGATCTTCAAGTCATTCTCATTCAGCACAACATATTCAAGTTATTGTTATGCTTTTTATTGTTATTATATTATATATACTTCTTCTTTTACCATATCGTTTATTAAATTTATTATATATTGTACATAATAAAATCTTTCAACAAACATTTATGAATGAAATTTTATTTCAATGTTTATTAAATAGTGTTCGTTTACTTGTTTTTCTTAATTGTGCATTGCAACCAATTATATATTTAGTAATATCTTCACGTTTACGTCAAACAGTTATTAAACTTCTTCGTTCATGGTATAAATGTTATTGTTATTGTCGATTTTCATCCTTATCATCATCATCATCACCATCATCTCATACTGAACAACAAGATACTCGAGCTATGCGTATACATTTATCAAAAATCTATCAAAATACAAATCGTTGTCAAAATCATCAGCAAAAACAAAATATTTATCGAGAGAATCGTCTATTACAAACATCATTAAATAATGCACATTTAATATCTGGTCATGCTGCAACATTAAATCCTATATCACAACGACAATTTCAACCATTTTTACATATAACTAATAAAACTAGATTTGCTATTTCATTTACTAATGGACGATGACAATGGAAAAGAAAAAGAAGAATCTCTCTTATTTTTGTTGTTTATCTAAATATTTTTATTTAAATAAAAAAAAAAGAAAGAAAGGAAACAAACGGAAATGAAAATAAAGTCTACAAAATAAGATCATCTTGTTATCTATTGACTGGACGATGGACGAGCTAGTTGATCAGCTAAACGCTTTCGTAACATATCTTGTATTTGAACAAATTGACGACGAAATTGTGGACAACGTTCAGATAAACCATGTAAAATTGTTTCAAAATATCTTAAACGATTTATTTGATTTTCACGTGCTGTATTTAATACATCGGGTGTTTGATGAACTTTTATATATTTTCCTTCTTTTACTTGTTCATAATATTTTGCACGTAATTGTTTTTCAGTTAATGTAATTAACATCTAAAATAAAATTAAAATCAAAATCACAAAAGAAAAGAAAAAAAACGAAATAGTTTACCATATTTTTTTGTAAATTTAATTCTGTTATACGTTCATCAAGTTTAGTATTTTCATTGGTTGATTGGTCTCGTTGTTGTCCGAGTTCTGTCATTCGTCTAACATGATCTTGTTGATCATTTTTATATTCTTCTAGTTTTTGTTCAAGTACAGCAGCTTGCTAAAATAAAATAGGATGATAATTCGATTGTCTAATGGAAATTGTGATAACTTTAATAGTAGATTATTTGTTTGAAATATAAATGGTTTAAGTTTCTGGAAAAACTTATCGTTGTATTATATTCCGATAATAACTAGGAGACGTTTTCAACTGATCAATCGCTTTTGAATTCGAACTCGGGATATAAGATAGACTTTAGTGAGATATGAAAAGCCTTCAAAGGATAAGTCCTCTTAGGCCTTCTGTCTAGAGTTATAAACATTGCACTAGAATGTTAGCTTCCAGTATGGTATATATTAACAGATTGAATGAAAGTATTTTGCCTGAGATATTCTCTACCGTCAGATCTATTTTGTCACTAGAATGTCCTGAAAATTTCAGCACAAAAGAATGTTTCCTTCCGGGGATATTAAAATCTCAAAAATTAAAATAATATTCCGCGAAAAATGTTATAATTTTCTGTTTTCTAGAACTTTAATATATGAAGAAGAAAACACTCTTTTGAGCTGAAATTTTCAAAACATTCTATTGAACAAATAGATCTGTTTTCGCGAAAAATCTCGAATCAAAATACAGTCATTCAATTTATTCATACATATTAAGCTAAAGACTAAAATATCCGTACAATGTCTGCAATTCTGGATAAAAGGTCTAAAGAGAATCATCTTTTGGAGGTTTTTCATATTCCATTGTAGTCTACCTTATGTAGAGTTTGAATTCAAAAGTGATCGATCAATTGAAAACTTTTCTTCATAAGTCAAATGTCAACTCAAGTAAATGTAATGAGTTTAAGATACCTATGTATTAGGTCAGTCGTCAATTGAGTACAGTTTCAGATACTCTGTTACCAGTATGTCACATGATCTTGGTTCAGTATCCTGCTGAGAATTGTTTCAGTACACAAGTACTTACGAAATAACCGCCCAAGTTCTATAGCATTCTACGAAAAATTTTTCAATAAGTTAATAGATTGAACACTTAACAGCATTTCGTAATCAAGTGCTAAAAACTCATTACAAAGTTAATTGAGAAGAAAAATAACAAAAAATTGATAATTGCTTTTTAACATTTATGGAACTTTTTGTCATACAAATTTATGAACTTAAATTAATTTGCAAAATCTATCTCTAAAATTTTTTCGTATATTTCTACAATTTGATTACCTAATTCTTTTTTTGTAAATGATAGATTCATACACTGAATTTTTGTTTTTATTGATACGAGCCAACTTCGAAAGTTATCACATCTAAGGGGTCTGTTTCTTTTTGCTAGCAAGTGATCATCATTTCTCCTACTATTCTCACCGTTTTACGGGCTTACGAAAATCGGCGACGTAAAGCCGCCATTTGTTTTGATAAATTCGAAGTTCATAAGATTAGACCATCCCTTTTAAAGTACTCATAATCAAAGTTATCGGTCAGCCAAAAGCGAACTATCTTCAATAAATCTACTCAAATTCTATATTGTTGGAAATTCATTTTTTTTTAGTAATACTTTTCTTTCTGTCAATTCAAGCAAAACAAGCTTTGAAGTATGTCAAAGTTATCTTGAAAATTAGAATTATTTTTCAACAGAAAGATTTACTATTTGTTTAATAAATATGAAAAAGTTATAGACAAATATCAAAATTTCTGCATAAAAAAAAACTTACTTCATTCGTGTCTCGAATTTTTCTTTGTAAATCAGTAATTTTCTTTTGTACAGTGCTTTGCATAATAGCTTTATTTTGTGGTAATTTTTGTTGGACTTCTCCTCGTGTAAGAATAGTTTCACGTCTTGATACACTTGTTTCCATGTCACGTATTAATTTTTCTTGTTGTCGTAATAATTGTTCATAACGAACCTTTAGAAATTGAATAAAAGAAAAATAAACGAGATAAATATAAATTTATCTTACTTGCATACGATGAATTTCAGATTTCATTGCTCGTATTTCACCTTGACCAGTTTCGGAATCCACAGCTGATTTCATTTCTTTTGCTAATTGAATTTTTCGTTCCCAAAACATGATTTGTTTTCTAATTAAAATGAAGAAAAGAAAAAAATCATTCGAATATATTTTAATTGATAATAAAACATACTCAGCTTCAACAAGATTTCCTAAAAGATTTTCTCGTTCTTGTCGTATTTCACTTAATTGATCTTCCATATGTAAAGCATCTTTTTCTGCTCCCTATTTATTTTTTTTTTAATGAAAAATAAAATAAAATAAAATTTCTTATGCAAAATAAATTTACAAACTTTTAATTCTCGAACGAAATCATTTTCGGATAAAAGATTATTTCTTTCTAATGTTGTTTTATTTGTTGATTCTTTATAAATTAATTTATTTAAACGTTCTAAATCAAGTCTTAATAATTCAATTTGACGTTTTAAATGTGTACAATCAGTTTCCATATTGTTAATTGTATCTAAATAAAATATTTTTCAAATAAATAAAAATAATTTTAACGTTAAATTCTTTACTTTCAGTTCGAAGTTTTCTTGACATTAATATTGTATGTTTTAATTTCATTGAATCAGTTTCTTTTTCTAACATATCTTTTTCATTTGTTAAATGTACTAATTCATTTTGTCCTTTTAACCATGCTTGTTCAAGATCAAAAATTTCTTTTCCAACTTGTGTTATCGATTTTTGTAAATTCAATATTTCCAATTCTAATGGTCCTAATTCAATACCACCAGCCTTTTCTTTTAAATTTTCTAATTTTTTATTCATTAAATCAATTTGATTTTGTTTTTGTTCAATTAATAAAATACGTCGTTTGATTTCTTGTTCACTACGTGTTATAATTTGATTTTTTTCTAAAATTTGTTCATTATATTCTTTTGATTGAATTTCAAGTTGTTTTATATTTGTTATTAAATATGTTTTTTCTAAACGTGCACGAGCTATATCATTTTCAACTTTAGATAAATTACGTTCCTGAAAAATAAAAAAAAAAAAGTTTGTAGAAAAATAAAAACAAATTAACAAAATACATACGACTTCACGTGTAGATTCTTTAAGTTTAAAACGTAATTTCGAACTATATTCAGCAGCTTTAACAGCTGTTAATTGTTCTTGAAATTGTTGATAAATTTCATCTTCTAATTTCACACGATCTTGATTTTCTTTTTCGATTTCACGTTGTAAAATATTTAATTCATGTTGTTTTTCAGCTTTTTCCTATTAGAAAGAAATATTTTTCTCAAAAATTAACTATTTTTGTTTTTATTTATTTACATTATTAACACGATTAAGCATAATTTGAGTTTCTTCAAGTGCTTTTGTATATGTGGAAATTTCTTGTTTACATGTGTCTGATTTTTCACTATTGATTTGAAGTAATTTTTCTAAATTTTGTATTTCATATTTTGTACGATTTAAGACTAGTGTTAATTTTTCATTTAATTCTTGTTCTTTTACAATTGATCGTTTATATGATTCCATTTCAGTATTCATTGTATCGATACGTTGCAATTGTAATCTAAATAGATGAACATGTGATTAAAATATTTGAAATATGAGAACTTCGTCTACCAGATACTTGTTTATGTTTTTAAATAAGATATTAATTTTATATCATTTGACCTATCGAAACATCTAGTAAACATTGAAGAGATTATGTAAGCCTCGAGAACTATGTGTTTCGTCGTTATTGTTTTGTAAAGTCCTATGTGTCCAAAATTTTCAAACACGGCCGAATCTGAGTTAGTGGCGGAGTCAGGATTTTGAGCTGGGGGGGGGGGGGGGCTCAGCGTCTTCTAAGGCCCCTCTGAGCCCCGGTTTTCGAATAAAATACATGGTTTTAAAATTTTCCTGGGGGGGGGGGGGGGGGGCCCCCCCGCCCCCCCCCGGCCCCCCCCCCCACCCGGGCGGGG